GGGGGAATTGAACTTGATTTCACAGATGACTACATTATGAGAACATCTTTTTCACTTTTTTCTTTATCAATGTTCATTCAGCCAAATGATCGAAACTAACTATATTTCCAATTTCAAAAGAGTTGCATAAATAATAATTCTGAAACAAGTAATTCAAAATAAAATTAGCATTTTTTTAATGGCACAAACCTAGGAAATTAGGAATACTAGTGAATTTATTATTCATAGGAAAAGTGAAATGAAAAATGAGATTGTCTTATTATCAGAGAAAAATCATTATCAAGATAATTCAAATTAATTATCGTAATTGGAAGTAAATAAAAAGGGTATCTTGCTTAATGATTTAAAATGAAGTTTAAATACTAATCAAGCCAAAAAAGCTTCCAAAAACTATTTTCAAATGATACTACCTTACATCTTTAATTTCTTATATACATAGAATAAGGCAAAGTTATGTAAAGCTGTCAAAAATTGATATAGAGATTTGAATGAAAATGCACATTTTGGGGTCCGTTTATACTGAAAAGGGTTGTCTGTCTGTTCTGTCTGTGAACACTAGCCACGCGATTTTTCTAAAATGAATATTCCCTGATCATTTTGGGCCCACTCAATGTCCAGAAGATTTGAAACAAACTCTCTGATCTTTGGGGTTCAAAATTTATTTGATGCCCCTGGGAGACTCAAAATTTTCCTAAAATTAGTTCCAAATTTTCTTGTTCAATTTCATACTATAACAGAGTGAAATACGCTTATAAAGATGACATATGTCTGATTTTCTCAGTTAAAAATGAATGTACAAAAACTTTTGGAGCCCCTTATACAACTACATTATTGAAGATACAGATTTTTTCCTCAAATTAAATTGTTCTCTACTATTGATTCATGTCAAGTAAATTTTTTTTAAATTATTAGTATTGTTTGCACAGTTTTTTTTTTTTTTTTTTTTTTTTTTTTTTTTTTTTTTTTTTTTTTTTTTTTTTTTTTTTTTTGAAATAGGGGCATCTTAAAAATAAAATGTTCCCCGAATTTTTCAAATTTTTTGCAACTTTTTGTATGGATGAAGCTAAATGCTCTGAACAATACACAAATATTATGTTTTTAAAATATATCTTGTGTGTTTGGTATTTACTAGAAAGGTGTTGTTTTTTTTAAAAAAAAATTATCACATTTGTAAGCATAAGTACTTCAAATTACTTTTTATGAAGTTGCTTAAAATATCAAAAGTTTTCTAGTAAAATGAGATCAAAATTGTGCAATTTCAAAAACAAATGACAACTTACAAATTTTTCAAAGGAAATAAGAACTCTTCATCTTCTATGATATTCTTAATATCCTATTTCAATTCTTTTAATAGAGGACTGAAAAATCGGGAAAATGTGAAGAAGAAAAAAAGCGTATTTTTTGAAACACAAACATTTCCTCAATAATTGTTACAGGAAAGAAAATAAGTCATTGTGTTAATTGAAGACTTCTGCAAATACTTCATTCTACAACATTTTCTGTCAAACTAGTTAATTTTGAGAAAATTGTTCATTAGCGAATGAAATGATGATAGTTTTTAATTGTGAAGTAACTTTGATTGCATTGTTGCTATGGAAATGAACAGTGTCAAACTTACTGAGATACATAGATTCAATGCTAAAAAGCACATTAAAGGCTGTGTAAACAAAACAAAGTAGTTTTAGTTACATCATTAGTTTCATAAAATTATTATAGTCATGGAACAACTCATATTTTCAAAAAATTGAACATGACCTAATTTCAAGATGTCTTTAAAGAATAGATTTCATTAAGGAAAAAAATCTCTATCTTCAAAATGGAACTGGTAGCAAGATGCCAAAAAAATTGCACTTTTGCAATTTTTGAAAAAGCAGGAATTTTAACGAATATGAGACCTACACCATTCTCTTAAGCCTCCTTTATCCTTTACAGGGTTGCCAGATGCATTGCAAGCCCCACCACTATTACACAGATTTTACCCAACTAACATCTTCAATGAAACAAAATCCCTCAACTTTGAAATGAAAATTATTCTTCAAATTATGAATCAGCAACATGAGCGTCATTTGAGCTGCTCAAAATCTTTTATCTTTATTTTTCTTATGTTTTCCCTTCTCGATGCCTAAAATTATTTTTCCTTTTTAGATTCATAAAATTGAGAGTGAATAAGAATACCTTTTTATTCATAATAATTGAGAGAATAACAATACTATCTCATCTAAAGGATGAAAATACTTTCCTCTAAAAATTCCCAAACATTCCTGGCCCCCAATTATGTTCTCCATTCTTTCCCCACAATGAAAAAATCCCCATTTTGGGGGATTATTGGGAAAACTCATCAATCTGGCAACCCTGCTCCTTTATGCTATCCAAGATCAAATTTTAATCAAAAAATTTGGACCATTTTTGAGAAAATTTTGAAAATGTTTATGAGTCATGTAAAGGACCCTAAAAAATGAAAATATCATCATCAGAAATTTTTCATAACCATGGCCTGGCAATACGAGTTTTTCCACAGAAAATTTGCCAGCATGATTACAATACTTTCTCTCCTTACAAAGTAATGGCAAGAAAGTAAAATGTTTGGTAAAATTGGTGATGACAGAAAAAATTGTAGAAAAGTAAAGTAAGAATAATACAAAGAATTGCCCAAGTGTTTTGATTACTCTGAATTAATTTTAACATAGGAAACAATGATGATGGAACTGCGAAAGAATCAGGGAAATTTGTTTAATCACCACTCTGTTTACTTAGATATTATAATTCCCTTCACATAGAAATTGATTTCAGGAGAATAGTGTGGAACTTTGAAAGAAAATGTAAAATATACCTCTTGTGCCTAAATAAAATACAACTGATACGTGTAATAACTGACTGGAGAATGAGAAGTTCAAATCTTGTTTTGGGAAAAAGAAAACGAAAAAATGATTATAATAATCAGTGGAGAGGTTAAATCTGCCTCACATTCATATGACAAACAAAAATAATAGTTTATAGAACCTTCTCAAAACAACTGTATGTAAATGATTTCACAGGAAAGGGAATAAGGGGTATATCAATACACCAAAACCATAATAACTAAAATTAGTAATAATGCCCAGAAAGGTATTGATTGAACAACTTACAGTTGAAGTCCATTGAGAATACTACCGAACAGCCCGAGCATACCCAAATACTCAATTCCATCAAAAGTTTTTGCCACAAATTCTTGAGCTACTGCAATCATTGCAAATAGTAATGCACCCACTAGGCAGAGCATATCGCCCAAGAGTCGAGTTTTACCTGAAAGATTTTTAAAAATGATGTATTTTGTCTCAACATTTGTCGAAGTTAATTAATGATGACAGACACAATTTTACATTAAAAAAAAATACCTCCAATAATAGGACGCCCATCTTCAATATCTGCCCAAACGAGGCATCCAACCCCCATTAGACAAACACCAATTCCAATTATGTGCACCATTTTATATCGTACCCTCAATACAATACAACTCAGAGCCAACACCACTGGTAATGATATGCAGTCCAAAAGCTACAAAAATACAGAAAGTCATAGAATCTAATGGCTAGGGGGCAGATTTTGATGACCTAAAACATTGCCAAAAAATAATCCAATAAAATGCACTTTATACGCTTTAAAAATGCCCTAAAACAAAGAAAAGTACGTACAAAATTGATCAAAACCCTTCAGATGAACAACTCAAGCTGTTGGATATGTCACTGGTGTAATCAAGGCTTTTTCCTTTTGTTCAAGTGAACTTAGCTTGCAAACTTTGGGTTAGGTCTATTCATTAAAAGAAAATCTCTCTTCATTTATAGCAAAATCAGTTGAACAGATAATGGCAGCGAGAATCATCACGGGAGCCTTAGATTATGTAGTACGTTGTAATGACTGACATTTCAATATATGAGTGAAGAAATCAAAAAGGCTACTCAGGAATTCCGTGGTGAATATTATAAATAAATAGTAATATTATTTGAAGCAATTAACATTAAAATGATATTAAAATCGATGAAATCAGCGAATAATGCAGTAAAAATGCCAAAAAATATTACTTATTAGTCAAAAATTACAAAAATGCAAAAAAAAAAAAAAAATATATAAAAATTGGTCATTTTGTTTTTTTGTGACATAAAGGGAATTTCTATACTAAACTACATTGTTCTAAAGTGAATAGGAAAAAAATGACATTTCATTAAAATCTGCCCCTTCCTAATGATACAAAAATCACTACAAAGCTATCATGGATTCCGCCTCTTGCTTTCTTTCTTTCTTTCTTTCTTTCTTTCTTTTTTTTTCTTTTCTTTCTTTTTTTTTTTCCTCCATTCAATTTTGTGACATCCACTGTAACATATGGCACTTCACTAAATTGATTCTATACATTTTAAAAACAATTAAATACAAGTAAAATTATAAGTATATTTAATACTCATGAAAAATACACTTCAATTACTGATGATTGCTAAAATAGAGATTTTAACATGAAGCTCAATATTTAACATCACATGAATGTATGTAAAGGAAAAAAGCCGTCCTTGTGAACGTTTTGCATTCCATTTGCAATACCTCTGTACTCTTAACACACTTTAAATGTATGTGGTTCATCCATTTTTTCCTTCTTCATTTCCTTATCTTTCTTAATTCATCCACTTTGTTGGGTGCTATGAATTTTATTCTTTGGTGCATTCTTCTCATTTTCATTCATTTCATGCAAAAGCATTATATCTGCTGAGTTATAATAAAAAGAGTTTTCTTCTCTTTAACTTTGCTTTTTTCCACTGCACCTTACTTGGTAGAAGAAAGAGCATGTAGCTGCTCAGTGCTGCAATATCCAAGATATCCAAGAGTGTAAAAAAGTGAGAGAGGCCATCTTCTTGTACCTCTTTTTGTTGAATATAATTGGACCATTAGATCAATAGCATCATCCCCACTTTTGTTGTAATAATAATATAAATTTATGCTCAGTTTTCTCTTTTCTGATTCTTGAACCTTGTAATCATTATGTTGCGAGGACTTCAGTAAAAGATTTCTAAGAGGTTGTTTCTTGCTATATAGCAACAGAAGAAAAGCTTACATTCTACAAACATTGTCACTCCATTGTCCATATTAGCGTTCTTCTTCAAATAAGATCATTTTATTATCAGCAAAAAGATATTTATGTATGATGAAAATCTATAGCATCCAGGTCCAAAAGTGGGTAAAAACGCCAGCATATATATTAAATTTTGTTAAAAGAACATACTTGCTTTTTATTTTTTGTCACATAAAGGAATGTGTAGCTAGTAGACAAGTACAAGGAAGTAGTTGACAAAAACGAACAAGTATATTGAGAAAATATGAAAGCATGGACATTGTTTTACGAAAATTGTAACATTTCAAACTAGTATGCAATCCCATGAACTCAATAAGGAATGCTGAAGAGTACTTGATGTTTCCGATTTAACACTTTAAAATTATAAAGAAATATAGCAAGTCAGAATGTATTGCCTTCTTATAAATACATCAAGAAAGAGGACATCTGAACAAATAATACACCCAAACAGAGAAGACACAATTTAAAATGAAAAGTAATACATGAACTTTACAATTCTTTCAAATTTGAATCTTCAAACATTTTCTGATATAGATTAGAAAATTAAATAGTTATATAAGTAGTAAATACATTTGCCTATTCTTAATTATAAGCTATTTTTGAATGGCTCTTCAATACCTGAATACTGGTGAGCGTAGTGAACTGATACGCTGTTGTTACTAGAGTATTAGCCTCCACATCAGCCACAGCAATCAGAACATATCGCCAACCTCTATTTCGAATAACAGAAAGGAGACCACGTTCACCTGTTCTGCATGCTAACCATGTTGTATAAACAAGGCATAACATACCATAATGTATAAAACTTTGACCTGGAATTCAAAACAATAATATTAATATATTTACAAAGAATTCCAAATTAACCACAATATAGAAAAACTCACCTGTAGGCATTGCAACTTGGTAGACAGAATTTATGTAATAACTGCAAAGAGCCATAGAACATATTAAGAACGACATCACTTGTCCCAAAATAATTGCCCTCCAAACTGGCCTGAAACAAATGCAAAATCCATTGACTATGTTATGAAGAACATTCACGCACATATATACATATATATATATTAGAATACTTAAAATCCACCTAGCAAAAATTAAAAAATTCATTAATCCAACTTCCTCATGAATATTATTATCTATATTTTCAGGAGGAAGGGGCTGGTATGATCCTGAACAAGGAGGATCACATTGAGGAACGCTGATCCAATCACAAGATACGCTAGAAGTATCTATTTCCATACTGGAGTCACTACGACTTGGAGGTGCTGTTGAACTTTCTACAAGAGAAAGTTTACGATGTTCTGAAATGCCAATCCCTAAAGGCAACTCGACTAACGATAAACGTCTACGAGTCGATGCCACATTATGGTTACTACATTCAAGAAGAGAACAGTGGGAACTGTGAGAATTTGCAGTGGAAACACAGGATGAAGAATTTTGTCCTAGGGTCACTGGTACAGATAAACGCCTTTGACGAGAATATATTACAGATGAACTTTTTGATGGATATGATGACATTTTAATATACTGTATAAATATTTAATGTTAAAATAACAAAATAAAAACTATTGTCAGATTGAAAACAAGTTTTACAGCACTTGATGTTCAATAACACTACAAAGAAAAGCCATCAGGAGATGACACAATCAAGACACAAAGCATTGGTAGCTCATTAATATTCATGAATAATAAAGAAGGTATAATCTGGAGATAAAGAATATCATCAAACACTTGCAGTCCAATGGCCTGTTAATACTATAATGAATTGTCTGATCCTTGAAATATAAAGGAATTTTAATTATGTTTATATTGAATTCTGAAAATTATTATACATGCAGGTCTCTACAATAATGAAATTTGGCAGTGGATCAGGTTCTACGTGAGAAATTGTCAAAACAATACAAATACTCACCACTTTTCAAGTTCTGATAAATATTTGTCCGTTTTCTCCAGAAGTCCATACTTTTTTCCTCCGTCTCGATTTGGTCTTTTAAAAGGGTCTCGCTCGCGACTACAACCCGGGCGGTTTGTTGCCATTTCTGCAATGCTAATTAAAATCCCGTGGATGTTAGTAAATAGTTGTGGTCAATGTCTCAATTAGCCATCATTCTTGTTGAAAAAAGTATCATAATCTTCTATTAAATTAAACATTCCTTCCAGAAACACCTGACCACTGAACATGACAGCACAATTTCACTTTGACAAAATACTTCTCACAATTGCCCTGGTGGTACTCGTGTTCCAAAAATAACGATGTGGAGTTTAATTGATTTATAATAATGAATGTAACTATCAGTTGAGTAATTGTGCGAATTTCAATTTCGTCGTATCATTCGTACATGTTGCACCACTTTTTTGATATTTGAATTCAGCATTGATGAAAATTATTCGGAAAACAGACCTTTAAAGAAATTAACAAATATTCATTTTAAAAACGACTCTAATCTAATATGATTAGTAAACATCTTCTGCAATGAAGTAAATCCCACAGTGTATTAAACCTATCAATATTATCATCGGGCTCTATACTCAGACAATCTTTCACTATAACAGGGTTGCCTTTCCATGGGGTGAGTTGTTGGGGTGGTTGTGCGTTTGGGTCGATTGGGGTGGGGTGTTCATATTGTCCATTGAGGTGTTACCAAAGCTGAAATTGAGGGTGAAATATTTTTCACTTTGCATAGAGTCAGGACAGACAATCAAATGTCCCTCTACTTTGTTCCATGATTAGAAGTATCTCTAGACCGGATGCTGTTTAATGTGTCATAGTCAGCTGATGTCAAGGTTATGGACTGAGGTTGTGCATCTTAGCGTTAGGAAGGAAATGCGTAAAATGTTCATTTTTGAGTAACGTTCGCTCTTTTGGTGAAGATATATTCTAAAATGGTAGAGCCAATTTTTGACTATCAATTTCGATTAATTTTAATCGGCGACAGCACTGTTGGGAAAAGTTCTCTGTTGAAATATTTCACCGATGGAAAGTTCGCTGAGGTTAGTGTGTTTTTATTGTCTTAGCAATGCTTTGTTGCTTGTTGCAATGCTTAACGAAGATATTTAGCTTTCAGACCCCACAGTTGGTGTTGACTTTTTTGCACGTTTGATTGAAGTAAAAGATGGAACTCGCATTAAATTGCAGCTTTGGGATACAGCAGGTCAAGAACGATTTCGGTATGTGTCCGAATTGGAAAACCGATTGTTGTCACATTGTTAGTGCTATTCTTTTTATAAATAAGTATTTAGGGATTCATAATTTCATTATTTCACAGGTCCATAACAAAATCCTATTACAGAAATTCCGTTGGTGCTCTACTTGTGTATGATATATGTAATAGATCAAGTTTTGAACATATACCCTTATGGATGATGGAAGCAAGACGTCATATTGAACCTCATCGCCCAGTTTTTGCTCTGGTGGGGTGTAAACTGGACCTTGTTTCATCAGGTGGTCATAGGGAAGTTCCCAGGGAAGAAGCTGCAGCATTTGCATATCAACATGGCTTGCATCATGTGGAAACATCTGCACGAACTGGAGTAAATGTGGAGGAAGCTTTTCGTATTGTAACCCAAGAAGTTTACAATAGAATACAGTCCGGTGAATACAAGGTTGAAGATGGTTGGGATGGAATCAAAACAGGATTTCAGCGCCCAAGTGGTTATGACTTCAATTTAGTTGAAGCTGAACCAGCAAAGTCTACTTGTTGTTAAACATTAGGATTGTTAATTTTTCTGTTATATTGTGTTATAGATTTGTAACTTTTAAATCTGTATTCTAAATATTCTTTTAAGTTATTGAACTTTTTAGTACGTTTCTAGGCTGTTTGAACATCTATGTACTCCCAGTATTTTTTTAAAATTAACTTTAAATCATTGAATTTTGTACAATTTGAGAGTCTTTCAAAAATCAAAATGTTGTATTATGTCTCTGACAATTCATGAACTACCTGAAAATTTAAACAAGGATCTTTAAAAAATTTAAATCCTCCATTTATGTGTATTAAGAACTATTTTATGGTAAAAGAGTGTAAAAAGTCTTTCTTGATAAGGATAGTGCATCTATTTACAAAAATGAAAGATCCAATTTTGAGATGTATGATATTATTGTAGATTAGTGTACGAATTAGAACATCAGAGTGGATAATTATAATATATTGTATTATACTTTTACTATGATAAGTTATATTAATAGATTAATGTTCTCTTTTGAATTTTTTTATGTTTACAAGCATTTATTTTGGTTTCTATAAAGTGTAATTAATTGATGTCAGGACTTCAAATCCCCTTCGCAGAAAGATTTTATTGAAAAATAGTCTATATACATTTTCTTTGATTTGAGACTGAATTAAATGCAATGGTTGTAATTACAAGTAATCAATAACTTAAGCTGTAGAATATGGATTATATTCTTGAAAGTTGGAACATTTAACAAGTTTATGCTCAACACGGTATTCTGAACACTATACTTTTGTTCATTTTTATTTATTTTTTTTCCCCTTCCCAGTCATGTTACCTATATTCAGCATTTGCATCATTGTATGCAGTCCTACACAACAAAAATTAATGGAACATCAGTGAACATTTATTGGGACACGTGTTTAAAGTTACCCACAGTTCATATTTTCAAGTCTTGAATCATTTTTGGGTTCAATTTACTATTAACAAAACACATCAAATTAATATGAAATGAGTTTTGACCTTCTGAACTTCGCTTTGGAATGTATGTAAAGGGTGATGAATTTTTTAGAATACTCCATTGGTAATAGACTGCAAAGTCACTTTTGATGTGCACTATTGATGTTACATAGCCATTATTTCAACCGGTGTATTTGGAACATGTAATTTTTGCGATTGTTTAGTTGCAAGGACAATATTAACAAGACTAATGTCTAGCTGTAATGGAACTTGGGTTCATTTTTTGAAAATAAAATTGCATTTTGTCATAAATACTATTGAACTAGTTTCCAGAATTATTTATGAACATAGGCCTACAAAATGTATTTTTTTTCTTCTTTGGTACAGCTCTCAAATTGGAAACCTTTAATTTGAAATATTAATATAGTGGATTACCTAAATATTTTTCATTGATGGAATTGATTTGGCTAATGCTAAGAGTATGTGATGTGATTTTGCGTGTGCATATATGCTGAAATTTATATGAAAAAATTGTTTGTGCACCATTGTAAATAAATTTTGTGTGAACACCTTTATACTATTTGTAGAACACAGAATTATTTGATTATTATTATTATTATTATTAATATTAATAATAATTATGAAAATGTGAGATATCAGTTGGTATAATCATATTTATTTTTGTGTCGTATTTGGTAGACTAAATATGATAAACTTGGTGAAATGAAATAAAATATCAATGGTTGATATTTTATTTTTAATACTCAAGTTTATTTATATTTTGCACAGTTTGTGGAAAATAAGGAAAATACCAAAATTTTAATAAATAAAAGTAAAATATATTCGGAAGTTATTTCTCCCAATTGTTTAAAATGTTTAAATAAATAAAACCTTTTGGAAATTGCCTTAAAGAAGAAACTCTCGATGAGAGTTGTTAGTGAAATGAAAGTAAAAATTAAATAATCAGTTAACTAGAAGAAATAAAATATGAGTGAAATTAAAAATGTGGGTGACTATAGAAGATCAATATTATTAAGGTAAAATAAAAAATCATAATTAGTAGGAAAACATTCTGTTAGATGAATAGTAATTGCAAGAGGTCTGTGGTCTCCTCTGAAAATTTATGAAATGGAAAGAATTTGATTAATTAAGTCAGCTTTAAATTATGTTTTAGGAGTTTTAACATTATTAACAATTCAAATTATACATATGAAAAATATATATTTAATATTTTAAATATTGGCGAGTTAAAATTCAGACTGTTTCTTCAGAAATACTAAACATTATTAAAACAGAATTTTTGTATTGAGTAATATTTGCTCAGTTGATTGTTTGTATTCACCTGCTCTACATAGAAATTTATATTATTTGTTAATATTTTTAATATAAAGTACCTAACAGCCATGTTGGTGCTGTAATTTTTAGCATTAAAACCATGAAATTTCTTTACTTTTTTAAAATTGCTCTATTTAAATGTTCTGTGGCACTCCATGTAAATGTGGTGTGAAAAGGGGTTTTCAATAAGAAGAGGATGCGATTCTGAGGCATAACCAAGCTGTCTTACCTGGGTCACCATTAACTTATTTTTTTTAATTTAAACAATATTTAAAGATGGAAGATTATTGAAAAATAATTTATGAAAAAAGGAATAGTCCAAAAGTTTTTATTGAGGACCTACTTTTTTTTTTCCCAAGTAAATAATTGTTTACCAGTTTTTTAGTACCTATTTAACAATTCATTGAATTCTGTAATATTGATAACACTTTAGTTGCAGGGCTAGTAAGAGAGATTTATATAATATTATTTATTTATATATTTATTGATCTTCATTTAGTGTCTTACTTGCAAATTAATGTAACCTACAGTAAAACATTTCTTGGACATCTTTGAAATTTATCATTAACTTTATTTAAAAAAATTAAAATCTAATTAGTTAATTTAAAGCTAAATGTATTGGAAATAAATATTTACATAGTTTTCAGAAATTTCTAAACAGTCAGCCATGGGACTTAAGGTCATGTTAATCATGCATAAAACAGTTAGTGTGACAGCTTCATGACGAAGGTGAAAAGGAGAATAGGAGAAACCTAACGAAGACATTGAGAACAAGTGTGATATGGAGGCAAAAGTTAAGCTGATACCCATTTCAGTATATTAGCTCTCAAAAAGGAAACATGAAATGTTTTGTTTATAAGCATATTGTCTAAATATGCTTTTACTTGCCAAAAATTTTGTTCTGAAATGATAGAGGTTGGTGTCTGATATAGTGTCAACAGACTTCAATTATCTCATAAATAAATATAAAAATAATTTAGTTAGAAAAATCAAAATTTAAAAGTGACACATTCATTAACAATTCTATTTAATTAGTTTCAATAGAAATCTTATGGAAAAAGATATTACATTTACTACAACAAAAGGGTGTCTCAGTGAGGGACTTGGTTATTTTAGTGAAGATGGATTAACTTTTGTAACAATAACACACTGAATATAAGCCCTGAACCTCATGTTTACATTTCATGGGTTTTAAAACTTGTTTAAATTGTCAATAGGCTACTAGTGTATAAAAACGTCTCTACATTTTTCGTAAAATAATTGAATTTTACTATTTTGCAGTCTTGCTAAGTTAAAGATTTGAATATGTGTATGTATGAATCCTAACTCACATAATAGCTATAAAATAATTGGATACTTCATGTTATAATTTTACATATTACTGACCTAGTATATGTATTCTTCTTTCACTGTTTTCACATATGCTGATGAAGGATAATACTAATAAGAATTCACTGTTTTGTGTAATGGGTTCAAAATAATAGATGGTTATTTCCTAAACCAGAAAACGAATTATGTTTTAAAGATTTTATCCACTATGTTTATGTAAATCATCAATTATCTTTCCTTGCCACACAAATAATGATTTTATTGTTTCAAAAATTTCAAAAAAATTAATCTTTGGGTGTGAATATCATTTTACTGGTTATACAATCTAATGGTTTGATTTGTATATACTATCTTGACAACAGTCTCATTAAAACTGAAATGTGTTCTAATTTCCAATTCAAGCAGCAATTGAAAGAAAATTATGCAGCCTCCAGCCTTGTGTAAGGTATTAAATTTCATTAAATACGCAGGAAATTTAGGGGAATTCCAAGAACATTTAAACAGTTTCAATTTTGACTGAAAATTGCAAATATGTGATTGTGTTGTGATGCCTATTCTCATTACGGGGCTTAATGAGTGAATTTTAAGACTCAGTGGATCACTGCTTACGATACAGATGATGTAATATAATATTTGTGTCCAAAGAAGAGTCCATTTGCCATTAAATATTTGCTATTCATTGTTGTTATGAAACAACAACTTTCTTGATATTCTTGGTATTTAAAGACCTGTTACTTTACTACAGTATTTATGTTAAAATATTTAATTTATTGCAGCATTATATGAGAGAATTATATTTGTCCTTGAGAAGAGCGTGAGGTAAATTTTTAAAAATAATTTGGTGTGTTTTTTTTTCAGTTGCATTTTTGTTACTGCAGGCCACCACTTTGATTTATTTGACCTTACTTTCATTATTTGGATATTCATTTTAATTTTCTTATGTGCAATTATTTGCATGGTGATAATGTATAAAACAGTGCATGGCATTTCAGAGTAAATGAATTTTAGGAGCCAAAGAATAAATACATTCAAAAATTTAGCTTTTTTTAGCCCCCTTTGAAACTATTTTTTAATTAAATAACAGTAAATACATTATAAATTGAGTGATATGAATATATAATTTTAAAAACACTATAAAACAATTTTCTAAACAAACATACTTTTTATTGACATGAATATATTTATAGTGTTGTAGAATAATTTAAAAGTTTTATGGTGAAATAATCTTTAAAAAAATATTATTGATACATTAAAAAAAATCTTATAATAAATTCGTTTCCAAAACATAAGATTGAATATTGTACTTTTTTATTTTGTAACAAAACATTTTTTTTAAGTTTAACTCAGAACTACAAATACAAAACACAATTTGAGAACATTCATTTTTCATTATGCCCTTCCCTGCTTCCATTGTTCTCATTACTGTTCCGGCCCCCATCCATACATCTGAAAAAAGTAAAGTTACTTTTGAATAACTCTTAAGATCCAGCCACCTATTCTGGAGCTTCTCACTTTTGAATACATTTTTATATTCTTGTTTTCTCTCTTTTTTTTCACATTTCTGGTTTTTGAGATTTGTAAAATGAAATTATGTTTCAGAGAATTTAGGGAATACAAACAAAATTCAGATTTTCTGACTGATTCTCTCTGTATGATTGAATTTCAACAGCAGCAGATTTAAAAAATGAATGAATTGCTTGCTGTGATTTCATTGTCAACTTCACATTGTTTGTCAACGTCTTTTGTGTTTTCTGCTGCATAACTGTTTCTATACAATTGGAGACTATACCGAGCATCAAAAAGGAAATTAATATTAATTTTAACAATGATATGTAATGTATTATTTACCATTTGTATTGTATAAATCCAAGCAACCTGTAACAAGAATTGTACCTCAGCATTTGGGATAATAACCCCCATTTCGATGAGGATCAGGTTCATTCGATCATGCCGAAAAAGTGTGGTTTTTAATTTTATATAATAATGTCAATACGTCCATCCGTCAGTGAACACTACTAGCGCCTCACGCCACATCCACGACACCGTACCTTACACCGCAACGTCCATCACAACTTCAACCCAACTGGAAAACCTTTTCCCATTTCCTTTCATAAAATATCCACGTCCCACTGAACATTCCCTCAACACCCGAAATAGACAAATCAATACACCCACCTCAGTCTCCAAATTAAAAATACTTACAGAAAATCCTCCACCACTCCAAAAAACACACACCCAACCCTCCCAAAAGAAATCATATCATCCATAAAACTTAAAATACAGGCAGAGACGCTACTACAAATATAGACGAAGACAAACAACGACTGAAACAGCTACAAAGACATATACTCAGACAAATGATGAATTACGAAAAACACACATATAACGACTTATTGACAAACAAAAAACCTCAGCGACCTCTATGAAGTGATACGCGCGGTCAGAGCAGACCTCACCAAAATTTCCCATCTAAAAACCAGTACTAACACCTTAACCTTCGACCCACAAATCATTACTTACATTTTTGCCCAGACCTTGGCCGTGAGATCCCTTCCCTCAATCAATATCTGTAATCCGTGATCCTGTAATCTTCGTGATCCTGTAATCTTTAGATACCTGAGTTCCCCAAACCAACCTCTTTAGCAAGGCCTCTACGCCACCGCCAACAGAGAAATCCTGCAGATCCTTAAATCCATAAATCATAACAAATCACCCGATCCCAATAGAATCCTCTCCCCCAACTACACCACCTTCCCAAAAACATCATCGACCTCCTCACTAAAATCCTGAACTCATGTTTTTCCTTAAGTTACTTCCTCGCTTCCTGGAAAACCGCTTGCGTATCCATAATCCCTAAACCCGGCAAAGATCATCAGCTTCCTTCCAATTACCGTCCTATCAGCCCACTGTCAATCTTAAGTAAATTATTTGAAAAGGTTATCCTCCTCCGGTTCTACCCCATCCTAAACCCGATTACCCGCCCTGTCCATTTTAGTTTCCGGGAAGGCCGCTATTCCTCCCACCCACTGTGTCAAAGCTCTCCTCTATACTGATGATATTGCCTTCCTTTCATCCTTCCGATCCCTAAATCGCTCCCTTACTCAACTACAAACTGTCCATAATCACTCCTGGGCCATACAGTATAACATCATCGTAAACCCTTTAAAAACCCAAGCCATTGTCTTCTCCAACCGTCGTCACCTATCCTCTCCTCCCCCACTCCATATCAATCAACAACCCCTCCCCTATATCAAATACCTGGGCATCCATTTTCCCCACAGACTCCACTGGACCCATCACAATAAACAGACCTCCCCCAGAACCCACAGAATCATCAACGACCTTCACCCTCTCTTAACTCACAAATCTCTACCAGTCAAACAGAAACTTAAGACTTACTATACATATATCCACCAATCATAAAAAACGCCCATCCCACCTCATCCTGCATTTCCCAAAATAACTACCTCCAACTGACGAAAATAGAGTAATTCGCCTCATATTTAAACCTAATCCCTACACTCGCTTTAATGACAACAGAACTCTTCATAATATTCCCAACATAAGTTTGTTTGTTCATAACTCTTCCGTAAACCACATTCAAAAGTTCCAATCCGATCCCACATACAACCATCTACTCACACACCACCTCCACATCCTTAGAAATCCTCCCCGCCACCGCACCAAGAAACATTCTCTCGATATCCTCCAGCTTCCACTCCCGCCAACCTAAACAGAGGACACCGAAGAATAGTAGACAATTGAACACTACCCAGATAACTGATAACGACGAACGTGACCAACAACAAACGTCAAAAGCCCGTCTCTCCCTTTCAAATCCTAGAGCAAAATCCTATCTCACCTCTCCTTTCCCTTTCCTTCCTTCCCTTCCCACTCCCATCCCCACCCAGCATCTCCCTCTCCTGCCCCCATTTCATCCAACCCGAAGCGTTCAATCCGTACACTCCTTAAGCAGCTCAGCCATCCGGGTGGGCTACAGGCTGTGTACTTCTATATTAGTCAAGAAATATCTGAACTGATTGTTTGAAGCAAAAATTGGTATCTTCAGTTTTAAATTTCTCAAATGTTCAGTTTTTAGCATTTTCGGGAAATGGAACAGTAACCTAAAATGGGAATAGCAACATATTTTAGCGTCTCTTATTACATATTAGGAGAAATTTTAAAGAAACAAATTGGAGCCATTTTCCGTGAAAATACTGCCTACATTTCGCGCAAAATACACGAAAATTACACGGAAATTAGTTGGAAACAAATAATATTTTCTAAAAATTTAACAGGAACTTTTTTAGAGATCCGTCTATAAGGAACAGGTTTTCTTAAGGAAAAAACTCTCTATCTTCAATGTTATGGGTGTAGGGTTTCAGTTTTCAAAATATCTGCGATTTCAACGAACATGAAACTACCATCATTCTCTTTAACACAAATATTTATTTCTTAATCTAATATATATTCATTTCAGTTGCCGTCTGGCGTAGTATAAATTCTATCCTACTATATTACTTCTGTATGACTATTATCTATACTACTGCTATTATTTACAATATATACATTCTTAGTTATTATTTACATTGTATGTTATTGGGTGTCATTTATAATACATAAATCTATTCAACTTCTAGTTTTCACTTCACTGACACTGGAGGCACACACTTTCTAGTCAGGGGCTCCAGCTTGTCGTCTGTCGTCGCGTAAGTAAGGAATAACATAAGTTCGGGACTTGTTCTTACTTACCAGTCGCCAGCTTATCGTCACGTCCCGTGCTATCACTCACGCCGAGCCAGGTGTATATTGCTGGTGTGCGTGTAGTAGCATGCCGCACGGCCGTCAATGGTCTCAGTGATTATTCTTTCTCTTAAGGCTTTTATCTTCTGCCGTCTGCAACTTTCTTTAGTGCGGGGTCACTACCAGCACACCATTCTCCCAGTGCCCCTACCACAAGCTGGAGTACTTCGGCACTGTGTTTCCAATGGTAATGACGTGGGCATGGGTGGCTTCGTACTTTTGGCGCTTTTCTTCTAACTTCTTTTCAAGTTTACCCACTTGTGCGCCAGCCACCGCAAAGTCCACCACGGGTGCCATTATGTCCCGCGCGAGTACGAGGTCAGGGTGATTGCAGCCCACCACTGTCTAATTCTCCCGGAGGACCTGCCACCCCGCTGCAATAGCTGCTTCTTTGTAAATGACCCCGATGTTGTTGAGTCGGCGTTCCATAAAGATGACAGGTAGCGGCACTCCATGGTAACGTGACCAATGTCCTCTGATGCTTATTACCCTTTGTTCCATGTATATCTCATTCTACACCTTTTGCTCACGTTACCTGGGCAGCAGTAGAGAGCTGGGGAGGAGTTGATCCTGACCGGAAATAGAAACTTATAGGTGGGAATTTTCATGTTCCGGCCAGACTGTAGGAAATAAGCGGGCAGGCTGTTCCAGCCAGCGCTGGGAGTGTGCCCTATGGAAAGCGTCACGTAGGCGTCTCACCAGCGATGACCGGTCCTTGGTGCTCAAGTCACTCTATCTCTCATCTCCCTTCCCCTCCTTCGTGTTGGTCCCCAGTCGGCAGGTGACTGCATCACCGCAGGTAGTGGCTGGGTCTCTGAGGGCACCACCATCCTCGGGGGTGCTGCTGTAGCCCGGTCGGGTCGAGGTTCGGGGGTGGGGCGCCACACTGGCGGCCCCGACCGTACTCGCTCCTATGGTTAGTATCGGCTCCGGGTCGACGGCCCCGACAGGAGAGGGTATGGGTCGGGGTCATGGTAGCTCGGGGTCATGGTAGCTCGGGGTCAT